TTAAGTAAAGTGGATGAAGAGGAGGAGCCTCTTCTCGATGCACGGACGCGCAGAGCGGCCAAAGGCAGGAGTGGCTCCTCAGGAGGAGGTCTCCTCGAGAGTAAAGCTTGGGGCTAATTGGCCACTCCCTTAGCCTATTTAAGGAGGAACACCGACTGAAGCAATTTGTAGGGAACAACTTTAGTTCACTCTACTTCACGTCTGGATTCTCTGCAAATTGCTTCTGGGCTTTCTGCCAACCTTAATAAGATTGTGATTACTTTATCTTTGGTTTCTTGTAGGCTGTTAAGAAAGTTTATTAACAACCTTTGCTTTGAAAAAGACTGAGTTATTTTAGTAAATTAAGTTTTGTACAAACTTTGTGTGTGCTGTATTCTTTGGGGTCCGTAGCTGGGGCAGAGCACCACCGCACAGTACTGGCTCATATTTAACTGGTTGTCCACTAAGACTCCAAGATTCGTCTCACAGTTACTGCTGTTAAGCCCGGTTTCATTCAGTCGATATGTGTACTTCTGTTTTTTCTTGCCTAAGTGTAAGACTTTACTTTTCTCCACGTTGAATTTCATTTTGTTAGAGAGGGCCCAGTGTTCAAGTCTGTCAAGATCCATCTGGATCTTAAGGTTATCATCTAGGGCAGGGGTCAGCAACCTGCGGCTCTGGAGCCGCATGTGGCTCTTTCACCCCTTGGCTGCGGCTCCCTGTCACTCAAAATATGCATCACAAACGCCAATGTGCGACAATTGCCAGCACACGATTTAGTGAGCTTTTCAACCTCCGGTAGGCCAACCATAGATAAATCCAAGAAAAGAAAAGTTTCAGAAGAAAACAGAACGTTTAATTTCAACTACATATGCTAGTTTTGTGGCCGCTCAAGAAATAGTCAGGCGCGGGAAGGGTTTTGTGGCTCCCGGTGTTTTCTTTTCTGTGAGAAATGGGTCGAAATGGTTCTTGGAGTGTTTAAGGTTGCAGACTTCTGATCTAGGGTGTTGGCTATTCCTGCCAGCTTAGTGTCATCTGCAAATTTGGTAAGTTATTGAGGGCCAGATAGGCTATTTTTCCAGAGCAGTGTGTTGAAGGCTAATGTTCACACAATCAGTATGTTGCTTCATTATGAATCACCAAAACACACCCAACAGCTGCCTCAAATTTGCATATCTAATCCAGTTGAAGGGCACGTAGAAGACACTGGGTTGGGAAAAGCAACCGAAAATGGGAAAAAGGGGCTTTTATTTTTTTATTTTTATTTTTATTTATTTTTATATGCCGCCCTTCTCCGGAGACTCAGGGCGGCTTACAATGCGTTAAGCAATAGCCTTCATACTTTTGTATATTTTATACAAAGTCATCTTATTGCCCCCACAAACTGGGTCCTCATTTTACCCATCTTAGAAAGGATGGAAGGCTGAGTCGACCTTGAGCCTGGTGAGAATTGAACTCGCAGTAATTGCAGGCAGCTGGATGTTAAATGCTGCCTTAGTAGGAGGCATTAGCCTCCTATGCCACTCAGGCTCCTGAGGTTTTATTCTAAACAGCTAGTCCTCAATTTACGACTATTATTCGGACCAGAACTTCTACTGCTAAGTCAGGCCATTGTTAAGTGAGTCGCACCCAACTTTATGACTATTGCAGTGATGCATATTCATTAAGTGAATCCGGCTCCCCCCCCCCCCAATTGACGTTGCTTGTCAGATTTTCTTTGGAGATGAATATGGTACAGGATTTCCACTGAAATTTATTTTTTGACCCTGAATAGAATTTAAAATGTTAAGATATTTAATTTAATAGCTGGAACAATAAAAGTGTATAATGAACCACAACGCACAGATGTAGTTGATTGATTGGAGAGTGCGGGCTTCTGCATGAGGTAATCTACGTTATGATTGGTTGTCGCGTGTAAAGAGGAAGTTTCCCTTTTTCCCCCGCCTTTTTCTTCTGTGTGTGCTCTGTATGCCATCTGTGATTTACCTCATGATTTACCTCATGATGTAATAATGATGTGTCTATCTTGTTGGCTGTAAATATAAATGTTAAATATATTTATTTATATAAAACTACAAATTTGTGTCAGCGTCTTGGACACCGGCTGCCCAATTCCTTGAGATCAAAGCAAGACCCATTTCGGGGAATGCCACAAAACACATGGAATTGTACTCCATCCAAAATATATATATTTTTTTAAACGTACAAAGTTCATACTCAATTTCATAGGCTATTTAAAGCAGATTCTCAATTTCTATTCTATCAGAACTTGCTATTTTATGGAATAATGTATTTATTTGCATCCTGCCTTTCTTATTTTTAATTTTTATTTTTTACAAATAAGAACCCAACTTTCTCACCACAACCCCTCTGAGGTGGAGTAGGCTGAAATAGTAACTGCCCGAAAGTTATCCCAGCTGGCTTTCATGGCGAAGGCAGGATTTGAACTGATGATCTCAACACTTTGTAGCCTGGTTCTTAACCACTAGACCAGGGGTCAGCAAATATAAGACGGCTGAGGCTCTGGAGCTGCATGTGGCTCTTTCACCCCTCTGCTGTGGCTCCCTGTCACTCAAAATATGTGTCACAACCGCCAATGTGCGACACCCGCTGGCATGCAATCTATTGAGCTTTTCAACCCCCAATAGACCAACCATGGATAAATCCAAGAAAAATACAGTTTCAGAAGAAAATAAGACCGTCTTATATTTTTTTGAACCCAAAATAAGCGCTTGGTCCTATTTTCGGGGAGGTCTTATTATTTTGGGCCGCATGGAGAAAACCAGAGGAAATGGCTGGGACCGGTTGTCCATGCATTTAAATATTTTTGGGGAGGGCTTATTTTCAGGGGGGGCTTATTTTAGTGCATGCGGTCAAAAGCCTGATTCGGTTTATTATCAGGGGATGTCTTATTTAAGGGGAAATAGGGTAGTCAGGCACGGGAAGGGTTTTGTGGCTCCCGGTGTTTTCTTTTCTGTGGGAAGCAGGTCCAAATGGCTCTTTCAGTGTTTAAGGTTGCAGACCCCTGCACTAGACTAGACCAAACTGGCTTGATAATGATTTGACTACAGTTCTCATTATTTCTCTTTGCTTATGGCTTAATAACAAACATCATTGAAAGTGATACCTCAACTGATCATAATTAATTAAAGATACTGTCCGAATATTCATGACTGGGAAGACATGGTAACAAGGTCAGCCAATGAATAGGCATAGCAACTAAGTCAGCCAATGGGAGCTGAGACAGTTTGGAGTCTGGGTGTGGCTGAGCTCTGATTCTGTGCTGAGAACTAAACAAAATCTGGTCTAGTCTGTCTGCTGAACTGAAATTAGCCTGGTATATTCTGCTTGTGTTTTGCTTGTAACTGCTACCACGTTGGAAGAATCTGCTGTTGGTATTGTACATTTATTCATGTGTTATTATGTATATAAAGAGAAGTTAATGAATCCTACTGCATCAGTTACCTGTGTGTGCTTTCTGGATTTGATTTTTGCAACACACACTGACAGATACACCAGTAAACTAAAAATTCTTTGACATTTTCTAGACCCGTTCTAGGCGACTTAATTTGTGCTTTATTCTTTTATTTTCTTTGTGTTTTCCATACTGTGTTGGTTTCTATTATTTTTCTCTAAAAAACAAAACTTCAAAGAATCTGGCCGCCGTTAAAAAAACAAAGCAGAAAATATCTGTGGAGATTCTCAGTCATCCAGGTCATAGTTGTCTCAAAGGTGCTTTTTCAAAAGGCAACTGGACTGTTGTTTTCTTTGAGGAAGAAGACGATGTTTTGCTTCTCATCCAAGAAGCTTCATCGGTTCAGATGAAGCTTCTTGGCTGAGAAACGAAGTGTCTTCTTCTTCTCTTCCTCCTCCTCCTCTTTTCTTTCTTCTCCTCCTCTTTCTCCAAGAAAAAACAGTCCAGTTGCCTTTTGAAAAAGCACCTTTGAGGCAACCCAAAAAATAACTTTCACATCTTCCAATTGGCATCTTCCAATTCTTTCACTGCCTTTTGCCGAACCAGAATATGTAATGTATTCAAATCATGGATGAAGAAATGAGTCTGTCCAAATTTGTAAAAAAAATCTTTTTTGAGCTGAATTGGTATGCATTGGTATAAAAATAACATTTTCGGAAAATGGGAAAAAAAATGTAAAAATCACACTAGCAACTTCCTATAAGGAAAACCTCTATAAGATGTTCTATAGGTGGCACCTCCCCCCAGAAGATTAGCACGAATGAATAAGGGGAAATCCTCAATATGCTGGAAGTGTGGAGAGACTGTTGGGAATTACTACCACATGTGGTGGGAATGCCCAAAGGCGCAAAAATTTTGGAATCTACTAAAGAATTGCCTGGAAGAAATTTTGTCAACAAATATAGAAGTCAAACCAGAATTTTTCTTACTGGGAATTATAGAAAGTAAATATAAGAAAGATATAAATTATTTATTACTGCATATACTCACAGCGGCACGAATAGCCTTCACTCAAAAATGGAAAGAGAAAGATATTCCAACTGAAGAGGAAATATTACTGAAAATCTTTAACTGCGCAGAAATGGACACTCACTTTGGAACTCAAGGATAAAAGCAAAAATAAGTATAACAAAATCTGGGAACAATTTTATGATTGGATAGATAACAAGAGGGTAGCCAAGACAAATGTATAGTGTTAGAACAAAAATATAGATATTATAGATAAATGTATGTTTAAGCGATAAATAAATATACAGAAATAAGGGGAAAAGTATTAATATCATATCATATTATGTTTAAATAACGAACAAAGCTTAAGAACTATATGTTTATATGAGTACTAATATTATTGTAAAGTGACGGAAGATGTTTGGAACCAGTGATGTCATATCTATGTCCAATGTTTTTTTAATTTTGTATTATTAAAAAAAAACTTTTAAAAAAAAATCATGCATGAAGCTGGTTCTCCTTCCGAAAGGAAATCAGAACTCAAAATAAAGTGACATCCTTTCCCTGTGGCCAGAAAGAAAACCCACAGACTCGATCATTCTTTCAAATTTCTTTTATTGAGGGAATAAATTCCTCGGCTGGGGCCATTTGGTATCCTGTTCTACATGAGAGGGAAGTTTCTTTAAAAAAACAAAACAAAATCAAAGGTACAAGGCAGGGACCATCCTTCCCTGCCTTGGGTCAGGATCCTTGCCTTTCGGCCGCCGGAGCTCCAAACTACGTTAAAAGTAAAACACTAAAAAGTTGCTAAAATTATATTGGAACTGTATCAATTTGCATTGTCAGATATAAGATTTAATTGCTGCCGTGTACTTGGTCCCTCTTGAGTGGATCACTCTGGAAGAGAAAAAGAGAGGGATATAGTTATAGGAAGCAAGTAGGTTCCAGGTTCTCAGCCTTGCAACTCCAACTATGACTTTTTTTAATCATAAAAATAAAGACTCCCTCAAATCAAGACCGATTCCTGAGCCATGTAGTTTTCTTGGAAACATTTTGCCACTCGGATTTTTATGGTTATTTTGACTTCACAATCTAGCATCTAACTTTAGAATCTCCTTGTGGTCTTCCATCCCAGTAAATAAGATCCAACCTTCTCTGGTTTGTCCAAATCAATCCACCACTTAGCTGAGTTTGAAGCCCTCCATCAAATCACAGATACCCAACTTGAAACCAGGTCGTGGATGTTCACAGATTCCCGCTCCGAGACCAAAAATATAACAAAATCCGTAAATACTGACCTGGTTTACTTTTATGTACCAGGTTAAACTTTCCACTGGAGTCCCATACAATTAATATGCAGGTGATATTGGTGAAGTGGCCCTTAGGAGCCAAATACAATGAAACAGACCCAAAGTGAGACTGTTTACTAGTAATGAATGTTTGATCCAGCTTCCAATATCATCCACTACCTAAACATTTTGATAAAAACGCACAGAGGCGGACATCCTGGCAAAGTGCCATTCCAATCTCATTGTCTTGGTCAGGGTCGGTTTCTCGCAAGCTTCATAATCCCCCACTACCATCTTACTCAGTAGAAGCTGGGTTACTTCTCCCCCTTTCCTTGGTTCTCAGGGACCGTTTCCAAAACGGGAGCTGCCGGCGGAGAAAGGAGCAGCAAGTTGGTCACCGGCGGCTTCTCCTTGGACTCTGCAGGGACCACCTTCCCAGGCACGTTGCTCGATCCAAAGAGGCTTTGTGGGGTCACGTTGGGGGAAGAAGAGGAGGAAGATGAAACAACGGAAGCCGCTGTGCTGTGGGCAGGCTTGGCGGGTAGGCCCCCTGAGACGAAGGCGGTATACTGATTCCAGAAGGAAAGGGGACCCACCCCCACCAGTTGGGCTGGGATGTCCCGTCCCAGGAAGTCCTGCAGCTTGACTTGGCCCCCAGAGAGCACCGGCAGGGGCCCTTCCAGAGGCAGACGCCGTCCCCGCCGCGCCTGGTTATTGCTCCAAACGTGGCTTCCGAGATGAACCTTTGGAGAAAAAGAAAGCAGGATGAGGAAAAGGGAGGTATGGATATGGGGGGCAAAAGCCAAAGGAGGAATACCCAATATTTTCTTCCAATTTAGGAACTATGGGATGTCATCAAATACTTTGGCTGCCAAATGAGCTCACGGGATTCATTGGAAGAGACTCTGATATTTGGAAAGATGAAAGGCAAAGGGAGAAGGGGACGGCAGAGGATGAGAGGGTTAGATAATGCAATTGACGCAATAAACGTGAATTTTGGCAAATTTCAGGAGACAATGGAGGACCGGGGGGGCTGGTGTGCTATGGTCCATGGGGTTGCAGAGAGTAGGGCACGATTTAGTGACTGAACAACAATGTTCAGAGAGAAAAGTGCACTTCCCATAGGCCAAGACTGTTTCAATACAGGTAGTCCTCGACTTATGACCTCAATTGGAACTGGACCTTCCGTTGCTAAACGATGCAGCCATTTAAGTGACTTGTGCCTGAATTTACAACCCTTTTTTGCGAATCTGGCGTCCTAAATTGACTTTCTTATCAAAAGCTAGCTGGGAAGGTTGCAAATAGCGATCATGTGAACCAGGGGTGGGTTCTACTTACCTTTACTACCGGTTCGCAACGGGTGAACATGTGCGTGCTTCTGCGTATGTGCAGAAGCTTCTGCGCATGCGCAGATCATCAATTATGACATTCGGCCAGGTAGGCGGAGCCTCCCTCCACTTTTACTACCGGTTCTAAAGAACCGGAGAGAGCTGGGAGCAACCCACCACTGATGTGAACCAGGGGTGGGTTCTAAATTTTTTTACTACCGGTTCTGTGGGCGTGGCTTATTTTATGGGTGTGGTTTAATGGTCATGTGACAATTCTTTAGGATTTAGCAGAAGTACTGGTCTACCAGGCTTTTAACTGCTTGCAGAGCTGTACTGGTCTACCCATTTGTTCTTGGAGCATTCAGGTCTACCTATGTGTTTTTGGAGGCACCGGTCTACTGATTTGTTTTTGGAGGCACCGGTCTACCCATTTGTTTTTGGAGGCACCGGTCTACTCATTTGTTTTTGGAGGCACTGGTCTACTCATTTGTTTTTGGACACACCGATCTACCACCACACTGCCTTTTAACACTGATCAGCTGTAGGGCGGCCCTTTGAAGCCCCATGGCAAGAGTTTAAACAGTTTTTTTCCTTCTAGTCGATCAGCTGAGACTCGGGAGGCAGCAAATAGATTGGGGGCGGGGCCAAATAAAAGGTAAGAATAACGTGGGGGGCGGGGGCGGGAGGGCCCAGCTCCCGAACAAAGAGAACTGATTCAGTGATGTCATATTGTCACTGCTACCAGCTCGGCCGAACCGGGCTCGGCCGAACCAGCTCGGCCGAACCGGGCCGAACCGGGAGGAACCCACCACTGATGTGAACCCCAGGATTCTGGAAGCATCATAAATACAGGTAGTCCTCAATTTATGACGTAAAGGTTCCCCTCACACGTATGTGCTAGTCGTTCCTGACTCTAGGGGGCGGTGCTGATCTCCGTTTCAAAGCCAAAGAGTCAGCGCTGTCCGAAGACGTCTCCGTGGTCATGCGGCCAGCATGACTCAACGCCAAAGGCGCACGGAACACTGTTCCCTTCCCACCAAAGGTGGTCCCTATTTTTCTACTGGCATTTTTTACGTGCTTTCGAACTGCTAGGTTGGCAGAAGCTGGGACAAGTAAGGGGAGCTTACCCCGTTAAGTGGCACTAGGGATTCGAACCGCTGAACTGCCGACCTTTCGATCGACAAGTTCAGTCTCTTAACCACTGAGCCACCGCATCCCTCCCAATTAGAAAAACTCCCCCAATTAGACTAACCTAAATACAAGAGGGGTTGTGGTGGCCGAGAAGAGCGGAGCGGTGTCCCAATACACAGGGTGAAAAACGAACTTGAATGTAAATTTTATTTGAAGTGTTTTTCCAATCGTACTGTTATAACTTGATTAAGAATCAGTTAGCAGTGGCTGTGTGGTTAAGACGCTAGGCTTGTCGACTGGAAGGCTGGCAGTTTGAGACCTAAGTACTGCAGGATGGATTGAGCTCCCATTACTTGACCTAGCTTCTGCCAATTTATCAGTTCGAAAGCATGCAAATGCAAGTAGATGAATATCCAAAAGTGCTTTTTCACTGAGAGTATATGCACCAAGACAAATTCCTTGGGTGTCCAATCACACTTGGTCCATAAAGAATTCTATTCTATTCTATTCTATTCTATTCTATTCTATTCTATTCTATTCTATTCTATTCTATTCTATTCTATTCTATTCTATTCTATTCTATTCTATTCTATTCCATTCCATTCCATTCCATTCCATTCCATTCCATTCCATTCCATTCCATTCCATTCCACTCTCCACTCCACTCCACTCCACTCCACTCCACTCTTCTATTCTTCTACTCTACTCTACTCTACTCTACTCTACTCTACTCCTATTCCATTCCATTCCATTCCACTCTCCACTCCACTCTTCTATTCTTCTACTCTGCTCTGCTCTGCTCTGCTCTACTCTACTCTACTCCTATTCCATTCCATTCCATTCATTCCATTCCACTCCACTCCACTCCACTCTCCACTCCACTCTTCTATTCTTCTACTCTACTCTACTCTACTCTACTCTACTCTACTCTACTCTACTCTACTTCTATTCTATTCTATTCTATTCTATTCTATTCCATTCCATTCCATTCCATTCCATTCCACTCCACTCCACTCCACTCCACTCCACTCCACTCCACTCCACTCCATTCCATTCCAAAATGGAGATTTTATGGATTCCCGAATGAGTCTTTAATGAATAGTGTTGCTGCTTTACAGAATTTTTGAGAAAAAACTGACCAGCATCTTATGGAAAGAATAGAAGAAGCGAACACTTACTTTAGCCCTGGCAGATCTTTAACGCTTGCTGTGATTTCTCCAGCTTCAGGAACAAACTTCTCTACCAATTCCAGTGGTCCCCAAAATGACTTATTTTGGCCCAGAAAAGTCTTCTTGGCTAAACGAAAACATTTTTTGTTTGTTTGTTTGTTTCTAATATCAGAACTGGCATTTCAAAGTCATTTGGAACAGTGGCATTGAGTTAGAAATTCAAACACTACGTTTCAAAAACTCTCAATACTGTATCTTAATCCAAAATTGATTTAAAAGATTGGTTCTTCCCCCATTCATTTAATGATGTTACCGCCTTGTTCCGTTTGAAAGTATACATTAAATGTTTCAGTTGATTCCATAAATCAATACATTGATTTTGTAGGCTTATGATTCTTATCCTACTGGAGTAGACCATCGAATTAAGTTCTGGATATTTGGATATGAAGATGTATTCAGGGAAAACCTGGAAATGAGGTCTACTATATGTGTGGGGAAACTGCCCATTAGCAAGAAATGAAAAAATATACACACTTATGGACTTTAATGATGAAAATGGATTATCCCTTTAAGTCAGGAGTCTCCAAATTTGGCAACTTTATAAGACTTGCGGACTTTGGCTCCCAGAATTAGAATAGAATAGAATAACATTGTTGGAAGGGACCTTGGAGGTCTTCTAGTCCAACCCCCTGCTTAGGCCCCTGCTTTGGCAGGAAACCCTATACCATTTCAGACAAATGGTTGACCAATCTCTTCTTAAAAACTTCCAGTGTTGGAACATTTACAACTTCCGGAGGCAAGTTGTTCCACTGGTTAATTGTTCTGTCAGGGAATTTCTCCTTCGTTCCAAGTTGCTTCTCTCCTTGATGAGTTTCCATCTTCTTGTCCTACCCTCAGGTGCTTTGGAGAATAGCTTGACTCCCTCTTCTTTGTGGCAGCCTCTGAGATATTGGGACACTGCTATCATGTCCCACCTTCTTTTCATTAAACTAGACATACCCAGTTCCAGCAACCGTTCTTCATATGTTTTAGCCTCCAGTCCCCTAATCATCTTTGTTGCTCTTCTCTGCACTCTTTCTAGAGTCTCAACATTTTTTTTTACATAGTGGCAACTAAAACCGGATGCAGTATTCCAAGTGTGGCCTTACTAAGGCATTATAAAGTGGTATTAACACTTCCAGTGATCTTGATTCTATCCCTCTGTTTATGCAGCCTAGAACTGTGTTGGCTTTTTTGGCAGCTGCAGCACATTGAGTCTCCAAGGAAAAAAAAAGCAGGGTATAGTCCAGCTGTGCTCTGCAGGTAGCCCTCCACTTATAACAGTTCATTTAGTGACGGTTCATACTTCTTCTCCTTCTCCTTCTCCTTCTCTTTCTCTTTCTCCTTCTCCTCCTCCTCCTCCTCCTCCTCCTCCTCCCTCCTCCTCCTCCTCCTCCTCCTCCTCCTCCTTCTTCTTCTTCTTCTCTTCACCTTCTCCTTCTTCTCCTCCTCCTCCTCTTTCTCCTCCTCCTCCTTCACCTTCACCTTCTTCCTCTTCCTCTTCCTCTTCCTCTTTTATTTTTATTTTATTTTACATACACTGAGAGCATATGCACCAAGACAAATTCCTTGTGTGTCCAATCACAGTTGGCCAATAAAAAATTCTATTCTATTCTATTCTATTCTATTCTATTCTATTCTATTCTATTCTATTCTATTCTATTCTATTCTAGTCCTAGTCCTAGTCCTAGTCCTAGTCCTAGTCCTAGTCCTAGTCCTAGTCCTAGTCTTTCTCCTCCTTCTCCTCCTCCTCCCCCTCCCCATTTCAAAGCGACCTTCTAGAAGAAAACTAATTGTCCTAAAAACAGTTTTTTTCCCTTCCTACACCTCATGCTTTGCCAGAGATGGACCACTTACTCTGCTTAACTCCTCCTCCTCCTCCTCCTCCTCCTCCTCCTCCTCCTCCTCCTTCTTCTTCTTCTTCTCCTTCACCTTCTCCTTCTTCTCCTCCTCCTCCTCTTTCTCCTCCTCCTCCTTCACCTTCACCTTCTTCCTCTTCCTCTTCCTCTTCCTCTTTTATTTTTATTTTATTTTACATACACTGAGAGCATATGCACCAAGACAAATTCCTTGTGTGTCCAATCACAGTTGGCCAATAAAAAATTCTATTCTATTCTATTCTATTCTATTCTATTCTATTCTATTCTATTCTATTCTATTCTATTCTATTCTAGTCCTAGTCCTAGTCCTAGTCCTAGTCCTAGTCCTAGTCCTAGTCCTAGTCCTAGTCTTTCTCCTCCTCCTCCTCCTCCTCCTCCCCCTCCCCCATTTCAAAGCGACCTTCTAGAAGAAAACTAATTGTCCTAAAAACAGTTTTTTTCCCTTCCTACACCTCATGCTTTGCCAGAGATGGACCACTTACTCTGCTTAACGAAGGCAGAGGTACCAATAAAAGAGAATATTTGCAGCTCAGGGATCCTTGAGTGCCCTTGAGTGCACCTTGAAATGCGGGATCCTTGGTGCACTCTGAGATTGGGTGTTTTCTTGCAGACATTTCATTATCAAACTAGGTAACATAATCAGTGCTAGGCTGAGGTTGATTCTACATTTACTTCTCCATTTTGTGCGGTGATAATACCCCCCCCACCACCACCTCCAAAATTGTCATTTTGTTGGTTCCAGTGCAGAGAGAAGAATTCTACTGCCTTGTTTGGGTAATATGAGTATTGGGAAAGTTTGTAATAAAAAAATAAATAAAGTTAGGGTTTGGTCGAACAGATTCTTCTTGGCCCAAACGGAAACAAGGAATGAAAACTCCAAACAGGTGAAGGGAGATTTCTTTCTCTTTCTTTCTTTTTTTAAAATGTTTTTTTTATTAAATATACAGTTAAAAACATTGGACATAGTGCTACTTCTCTAGTTCCAACATTTCCATCAATTTTTTTCTACAATTCATATTCAACATATACCTTTAGACAATCTATCAAAATTCAGCTACATAAACCTCTTCATCTGTAGAAATTACATTCGATACCAATACAATTCCTACCTATCACATAATACTAACATAACAATTCTTAAACTCTTGATTTATCCATATTTTTCTATCCCAACATTTCTCCTCCTCTCCAACCACTGATACACTGATACCGATGTGCTGGAAATGTAAGGTAGCACCAGGAACCTTTCACCATATGTGATGGGTATGTCCGAAAGCTAGGGACTTTTATAGTGGTGGGATTCAGCCAGTTTGCACCACTTTGGTAGAACCAGTTGTTTCTTTCCGAGCAGTTTGGCAAACTGGTTGTTGGAAGAAATCATTAGGAAGAGAACCAGTTGTTAAATTACTTGAGTCCCACCACTGGACTTTTGGCACCAGATAAAACGATGGCTGGAAGAGATGTTAAATCAAACCATAGATCTAAAGCCAGAACTCTTTCTACTGGGTATCACAAAGGACAAATATAATAAAGGAACAATATACCTAATGTTGCATATATTAACGGCAGCGAGACTGGTCAAAAGTGGAAAAGAGACACCCCCCCC